GTTCTTGGACTTTTTAGAAATCTTAGAATGTCCCCTAAGCAACCTCTTTGGTTTCATCTCAATTGGACCTTCCATGTTCATGTATGAAGATTTGATCCAAAAGGTGTCTTTGTTGACTTTTTGAAATGACCTATAATGTCTGAATTTATATCTTTTCATGAGTGAATTTTTTGAACTTGAGGGATGAAGATGAGTTGTATGGAATTGAATTCTATTCAAAATGAGCCTTGGATGAGAAATTTCTGATAAAGTATGAGAAAATTATGCTTGGTCAAAGTTTGGTTAACTTTTCCTATAGAAACCCTAATTTAGTAACTTTTGAGTTTTGATGAATTTGGGGCATTCCTTGAGGAATCATGATAAAACATTGATCAAATGATGGATATTACTTAAAAATGTTTATGTTGACCAAAATCTTAAAGTTTGATTGTATGAGGGTCACAGTTGACTTTTGACCTAGTATAGTTGATTTTCACGCATTTGAGTAGTTGACTGAGCAAACTCCTTGTGCAAGACATGAAACTTGGCATGGATGATCTTGAGAACATATTAGGGCAATGGAAGTCACTTAGGACCCTTGGAACTCAAACATCTTGATGAGGAGTGAAACCCTAGTTTGAAGCTCATTGTCTTAGGAGGAAGATTTGTCTGGTCAATCCTTAGTCAACTTGAGCAATAGAGGACCTCTAGGAATATGTTTTGAGTAAAAATGGGAGGGAAAATTTTGGGATACAACACTTATTATTATAGGGTCCTTCTTTATATTATTTTCCTCTAGTTAGGAGCTTCCTGGAAAGGATGGCTTTTGATCAAACCAATTTGGAGATCTTCTTGATGTTAAGTGTCTATTCGTAAAAAAAATTGTACATTTTGGAAAGTAATTTTATTTGATGCATATGAAAGTTTTGAAATCTAAGTTTCTTATAGAATATAAATGTTTTATTAAAATTTATATTCGAAGAAGCGAAGTGGTTAGCAATAATTTTAATAAACATAGGAGTCATTTTAACACAAATTTTTCCGAGTATGCTCTCATATTTAACCTAGCTTCAATTAGGCCTTTTGAGGTTGTATCATGGCTTAGTTAGTGGTTTAAGAAACAAAAGATATAATGATCAATATTTATTTTAACCCAACCCATTCTTCTTGATGTTCTCCAATCCTAAGTTCGATTAATCCAATGGATGCGTTCAGTCTGCAAGATAATTTTTGTAGTCACGCAGACGGTGAGAAGCATAGATAAAGTTCAAGCACTGATGAGAAACATATCTAAGAATTGATGAGAATCCTTTATGATTATTGAGGTGTAAGTCACAATATTGTTCTCCAATTTATTTGTTTTCAATCCCTTATTTTTACATGGACTGATTCTTTTGAATCTGGTCCATCGGGATGCCCTAACTTTTGCCTAAGTCAATTTGTTTTTCGATTTTTACTTAACTTAGAGAGCTTTATTTATATTTTTTTGAATTTTTTTCCGCTTTTAGATTTTGAACACTTGTGACTGTTATGTTGATTGTTGTAAGCTTCATCTTCATCGTTTCCTCGATCTTGAATGATGTACTAAGGAAAGATGTCGTGGGCTTTATCTTCATTGATTCCTCAATCTTGGATGATGAATGTGAGGAAAATGATGTTCTTGAACTTTTTCTTAGACCGTTTCTTCAATAGTGTATTGGGGAAGGAGGTATGCTTGAACCTTTGCTTAGATCGTTTCCTCAATGATGTATCGAGGAAAAAGGTATGCCTGAACCTTTGTTTAGATGGCTCGATTCTCCTGAGATTTGAATACATCATTGAACTAATTGAAATCTACCCTGCCCCTGGTTGAAATTAAGGTTTTTTATTTTAGAAAATAGAACAAAACTACAACTCCTGGCTCGAGGGGCTTGACTACGGAGTAACTTCCTTATTTCTCTACTGTTTATGAATTGAAACAATACCTTACATCATCAGCTCAGCCTTACCATTGAAAGCATCGTTTAGCAAAATTCAGCTATTTAGTTTTCATCATTCTCCCTCAAAGTTTTTCAAAGTTGAAAAATGAAAATGGAAAAGAAGAGTGAAAATGGAAAGTCATTTATTGTTTATAGAGAGTGAAGAGTGATACAAATGAATTGATTTCAAAAACATGCATACTCATTTTATTTGAATTACTGATCCAAAGATACAAGTTTAGACCGAATACAACTTAGCAACATAGAAATTACAATTTGAAATTGATAAAATCTAATGATCCTATGGAAGAGCTTGTTTGTTGATCCACTTGAATTTAGAAGATGCTTCTTGGACTTGTCAAAGCATGGGGTGACCCTTGAATTTTCTTGGGCATACCTATTTTGTGAGGGCATTGCTCTTATTGATCACCAATGATAGTTGCATTTGAGGCGTTGTGTAGGCTTTTGTCTTGTAAAAGGCTGCCTTATCTTCACAATAAGATTTGTAGGACCAAGCTCAATTGAATATCCAATATTTGACCTCTCCTTGACCAATATAGGATTTTCTTGAATCCCTTCACAGCCTTCTTGAAGCATCATTGGAATTTGCTCTTGAGCATCGGGAAATTTGTTAGCTGGATGATAGCTGGACAAGGGCGAAGATCGAAATGCGTATGTATGAATGTAAGTAACTGAAAATGCATGGGTATGAAAAAAATATTTTTTTCGCTTTTGAGGGTATGCGAAAGTATTTTCATGGAGGCGCAATGCAGTGCGAGGTTAGAACAAAGATAAGCCTAAGGAAACCCTACACAAGCTAGGGATTAAAACAGATAAAAGATAACCCTACATACTAGGGATTATGACTTACAAAAGATAACCCCTACAAGATAGGGATTATGATAATCCCATAGATAATTGAGATGATGGTTTGACTGAGGAAATATCATGGAAGAGAACATGGTGACCGATCAACAGTCACCAGATCCCATGGCCTAATAGAGACCATGTGGCGTGCATCAGTGAGGACGTCCTAAGGATAACAACGAACAAAAGGGGATCCCTACAAGCTAAGGATTATAACTAAAAAATGAAATCCCTACAGACTAGGGATTATGACTTAGAAGAAAACTCTACGGGCTAAACAAAATAATACCCTTATGAGTTTAGGGTATAATAACGATAATGGGTAACCCTATGTAGGTTTAAAGTTATAAAAGAATGTCCCTCGTAGGAAAGCTTCCTATGAAGGATGGGATGACAATAGTTTCCTTAGTACTTGAGTTCATAAGTCCGTCCTACAAATATTCTACCCTCCCCAAAGATGGCTTCCTTAAGGGTATCATGGATTACACTAGAGGGAAATACACAAGGGTCTCATTTAAGTAGAGCCTCATTGTAGATCGAAACATTCAACTTTGAGATCATACAAGGTCTCATCATGAAATTTTGGTTTAGGGTTATACAAAAAGTCATAGGCGTCATTCCAAAGTCCTATCCCCCAAAAGGATGGCTCTTGAGACATATTACCTTTTCGGAATTCCACAGGCTCTAGGCGAAGTCCTCACAAAAACTCATAGGGATGATGTATCCCCTTGGCCAATAGACGATCCTTCTTTCTAAGGTTTTGAATTTTTCGAATTTAAAAATCCCACTAACAAATAAATAATGATAAATAATAAAGATAATATAACCATAAATAAATAAACAGAATAAATAAATAGGAATAAAACAAAAAAAAATAGGAAAATAGCAAAAACCCTAGAAAAACCCTAAACCCAAAAAGAGAAAAACTTCTAAACCATAGGGTTGAGTCCCCTGCACAGTCGTCAGCTGTCGTGACTGGCAAAAAATAACGAGTCGCCACCATTACTTTTTGTCCTAACGACTGGTGAATAATGGAATAACCCTAAGTGTACAGAGATTCTAAGCTAATGCTTTGTTTTAGACGAATGGAAGATGTTAGGCACCTTTCATCTACCTTGTCCTCAAGGATGTCCCAAATTTAGGTTTAAGGTTTAAGAATAGGGTTTTAATTTTTTAGTTAGGGGACTCTCCATGGTTTTAAGTCATAAGTGTATGTATCCTCTTATGAGGAATCAAAGTCTCAATTCGTAGTTCGAAGTGTTTGGTTAGATGTTTTAGAATATATGATGCAATTATGTGAAAATAAGTTAGAATGAATGCGAAAATATTTAAGGCAATTTAAAAACGGGTTAGAGTTTTAAAAAATATTTAATTAATAAATAACTATTTTTCCTAAATATTAAAGATATATTAATATTTTTAATAAAAATATCCAATAATTATTTATTAATATGTAAAATTATTTTAATGTAAAATGCCAAAAATATGATAACTAAATTAAATAAAGAAAATAAAATAGGAAATAAAAAATAATTAAATTAATTTTATTGTACTTGGGGGATGTAAAAATAGAAACTAGGTGTGTATTAGGGAAATATTTGGGCCCAAATGTTCATTTGAATCCAAATAGGTCAGGGGGTGTAAATTAATATTAGGTAGTAAAATAGGGGAGTGTGGAAATAAAGGATCTAAGTTCAGAAATTGAACTTGGCCCATTATGCAAAGGGGATGTGAAATTGAACATAAGATATGCAATTAGTGATAGGCTAGTAGGTCTAAATTAATGTTAGAAGTAAGTCCAAAAGAATAACTAAATTTAACCTAAATGTTTTACTAATCCTAATAAAGTTAACAATTAAACATATAAATGTTACTAACCTAATGAAATAAACCATTAAAAAAACGGGAACAATATGTCATACTCCTTACTATTTATATGATCACTTCATTATTTTATGTTATTTTTAACTATCCCCATAGAATAAGTAAAAATAAAGATAAACAACAATAAGAACAATTAAGCGGTGGTTATTTTATGGGGTTTTTCTTTGGTTTTCAAATTTTACCTTCTAGCTAATGAGTTTGTGACAAGTGGTGATAAAAAAATTGATAAGAAACAAAATAAAAAAACATGAGTAAGAGAAGAGATAAGATGTGGGATTTTATTATATCTCTTTTCTAGAAATCACGTGAAGAAAAAAGAATAAAGGCTCCTTACCCTTCTTCTTTGTACCTGTAGAGAGAAATAGAAGAAAAAAACAATACAAAATACATTCTTATCTCAAATCTAATCTCCCTTGTTCAAAGCCTCAACAACCCATGAATCAACAAACCATATGCATCATTTATCACAACAAAAGTCAAAAGGGAAATACAAGAAGATTACCGATCGGAGATGACAAAAGGGAAGCGGCCGAAAATGCAAAGAGAGGAAGTCGGTGGTGGAAATCTTTATGCAGAGGCAGACAAATTTGGGGTATGACAATATGTAATATAAAAGTACTAATATTAATATAATGTATTTAATATAAGTGGGTGGGATACTTCATTATGAGTAATTGTTGCACCCTAATTTTCGCCCGTAATTTTTTTTAGTCGCATTATCTTATCATATTTTTTTATTTGGTCACAATCATTAATAAATATCTTCATTCATCACATTTCACATCATTAGTCGTGTTTAGGTTGACCAAAAGTCAGTTTAAATCAAAGTTTGCATCATTTTGTATTTGAAAAATACTTGATATATCACTTCATGCATTTTTATTTCTTTACTCGTTTCTTGCATTGCTCCAAGTTATTTATATGTGGATAACATCAATATTTCGGTTTTACAAACAGATTTTTAAAAGCGATTTGATACTGTGCATAAAATTAGTGAAAAAATATTTTAAGTTTTCATCTTTTACTGATCACTTTAAGAATCTGCGTTACGCGTAGATTATGATGGTATGCTCGTTTCATTTTTTCGGTACAGTTTGAAGTCTCGTTTTTAACCGTAAGCGTTTGTTCAGCCTGATATTTTTATTCTCATTTTATTTCGATTTTGACCATTTGAATATTTTTTCATTAATCTTGTGATATGTAAATTATTTTAATGTGTTCATTTCATTTTTTGAATAGGTTAATGTCTATTTTTTATCGTTTTTAGTCATTTTGGATCTCTATTTTTTATTCAGAAAAAAATATTTTTAATTGAATTAATTTTTGCTCTTTCAGATTTTTAAGTCTTTTTTATTTTTAGAGGCCTGTTTGGTCATTAAAAAATTTATGTTAAACTAAGCTTTGTTTTGATTGGTTGTAAGAGAAAGTGCAAGATTAATAGCCAAATAGAATGAACGAATTGCAAAAGCAGAACAAAATTTCCTCTTCATCTGTCTATATAATAACCTCATTTTTCTTTGTTAAACACACAACAATAAACCCTCTCTTCCTCTCAAAACCCCCTCTACCCCACGGCTACCACTCCCTCCTCTCTTCAATACACAATCAAAAACCCAATCTCATCTCGCCCTGCATAATTTCCCTACACAAACCATTTCCCTTATCCATCATCCACTTTATCTCATCTTCTTCAGTGAAAACCGCATACTCTCCATGATTTAATCATCCATATTGACCAAACACCCTCTGTCTGATTTACCCCAATGTAACAACCATCTATTTTTCTCACTCAGTTTTGAATTCTCCATCACCATATTTTACCTTCAAATTGCTGATTCACCTTGCCTCCATCACGTTTTCCTCTATTTTCCAACATCATCACCTTCACTGATTCAACACCACTAGTCCCTGCTACCCAACATCTCCCACCGACAATCCACTCCTTCTGTTCTTCCAGCCATTCCGTAAGAAACTGCACGCAAATCATGACCGTTATCCCACCTACATCATCGTCTGTCACCTTATTCCAGCTGCTTCTACCCCGCGTGCGTAATAGACTCTATACTCCCTTCTTATCTCATTCAACGCCCAGCTAGCCCATTGTTGTACCCCAAAATTTTCCCTCTCATTTCTCAAGGATTTTCTCATAAGATCTTACATGACATCAAGTTTGCAGCACTGATACATCAATTTAGGTTCGGAATTGGTACAAGGGCAAAATGGTCAATTGCATACTGAAAAGTCAAACTTTGACTTTTGGATCAAAAAAATCAAGTTCCAAGAATCATATTTCATCAAGACATGTTGGAATATGAAGTTTTTTCATCAAGAAAACCAAAAGTCAAAATTACTTTGGAAAAGTCAAAATTCTAAATACTTAGAAATTTTTCTAAGTGTTTAGGAAGGATGATAAGTTCAGAATTTTTGGCCGGATTTTCACCATGATGCAAGGTGATTCTTGAAGAACTTCTGACATAAGAGTTATAGATCTCAATGACATCTAAAACAATGCAGAACATAACTTCTTTTAGAAATGCTGGGATTTCAAGTTATACACCCTTGAAGACACGTCTATGAAACTGAAACATTCAGTCAATTCTGGGCATTGCCAAGACAGAATTTGGTTAGAACTTCTGGGCCAGTTTTCAGGAAGGTTCAGCCAGAGTTTGCAAGAGTAATTCAAAGAAAGTCTAAAAAGCATGTTACAAGCTTTCTAAAAAGTCTAAGAACTCCTTTAGAACATGTTGGAGCAAGGAGATTCAAAGATCAGAAGATTGGATATTTGTTTTAAGTTGCGCTAATGCTTGAACTGCTGACCCAGGTTAAGCTATGATACATAATATCTTATTGCAGATTTTCTGTTTGATAAATCTCATCATCATTTAATGCTCACAACCTTTTTTGAGTCTTTATCTAAAGGATTTCCCCATGTGTGGCATGGAAGTACCATGGTTGTCCTTGAAAAGCAAACATTTATACAAATTTTATGTTGGGCCCATGCTCTACTCTTTATTATGAGGGTACTTTTCCATAATTCATGCTTACAAATCCAGCTTAGGCACAACTAAAAGCTGCAAACCACCCTTCTTTGTGCCTTGAACCATACCTGTTTAACTTGCTTCAAGAATAAGTCAGCACCCAAGCATGATGGTTGTACCCTTGGCTTCTCCTAGCTACTAAATCATTGCCTATAAATTGAACTTCATTTGCAACTGTAAAGAGGTGGAGAATTTGGAAATTAGCCCTGAAACCTTGCTAAAATTTCAAAGAATTGGAAACTAAAAGCATAAACACAAAAAAACCTGCTAAGTTTCTGTTTCTTTTCACGCCCAAACTCTAATTTTATTGCACATCTCTTGGCCAAATTAGAAACAATCCCAACTTCTATTTACAGACTGCAATACAATCTCCACCAACTTCCATTTCAAAAAATCAGAACTTTGCTTCTTGGTTGTTCCAGAATTTTCCATCCATTCATAGCTCAAGTTAAAGGTTGTTCCAGCTTTCTGAGCACATGAGAAAGCTGACCCGAACATCCCAGCAATCAGAACCAGGCTCTAGCTTACAGGACATTTTACAGCTGCAAGGTAATCTTCTGCTGACTCTGATCATATTTCTTAGGCATTGTTAGACTTGCATGTCCAAAAATATAATGTAGACATCCTGACTCTGATTCTGTACATATTCATAGATTTCATGTATTTTCGCCTAAGTAGAGGAAATTTCAGTTCAGAACTTCTTGAGGAAATTAGGATTTAGAATTAGGATCAGCAAAATACATGCTTGCTTCTGATTTACAGTTCTGATATTTGATGTTTCTTAAACAATGATGAAACCTTCCATAATTGTTATGTTTGCATTCTTCATTTTTGTTGAGGAATAACTAAGCTGCAGATGCTATGGTTGGTATGAAGAAGGGAACGAAGCCCATCATCAGAACTTATTTTGCTTTATATGTTTATGTTTTTTCTTCTAATACCGGATGTATAACCACCCCAGTGGTAGAGAGCATATGCATGAGACATTAGTGTTAAGGGTCTTGAGTTCTAGCCCCAGAAAGACCCCTTTTTTATGTTTATTTCCTGACATTTTTACCCCATCCTAGACCAGAGCTTCTAGACATCTCCATCCAACAGCATTGATATCTCACATACCCATTATCAGAACTTCTAGCTTGCCAGTGAACACTAGAACTTCTAGGTTTCCAACTACATCAAAATTTCCAGATTCTCAACAACCAGAACTTCTGACCTTCCAGTAACATTAGAACTTCTAGGCTTCCAGTTGCATCAGAAATTCTAGGAATTCCCTTGTTCCTAGCAACCCAGAACTTTAGTGTACCTGGACCCAGAACTTCTGACCGCCACCTTTTCTGCTAACGTTTTCTTTCTGACTTGCAGTGTACCGGAGTCAGAACTTCTATTCTCTCTTATTTCAAAAACGCGCTGATTCTAACCCCTTTTCCTCTTATTATTTTTATCATTTTATTTTCATTAATCAAAAACACCAAAAATATTTTTATACATCACATACTTTATTTTATTTCTTTTAAATCAAAAGACTAAAAATATTTTCTTAACAAAAACAAAACAAGTCCATTTCATTTCTTGTACATTATTTCAATATGGTTGTAATAGATAATTAGGACTTTAATTTCTTGCAATCCCCATTTGTAAATTTGTACGCCCCATCCCCCTAATGATTGTAATAGCGTAGAATATTTACTTTCCACAATTTATTACTTTCATATAAATGCTAGTAATTAGGATTTGTATGGGAAGATAAAATCAACAAGTAGAAAACCCATAATCAAAGATTAAATGCATGTAAATCAAACACACTATTCACACATGCACCCCTAGGGTTAACTCCACTTGTTGATTTATAAAATAGTCATATTATACATGTGGGATGTCTTAGCAAAAACAATCAAAAATACAAGATCATAGTCCCTCGATGACGCTACGAATGTTTCTTTATAAATGATCTTAGTCCCTCAAGAGAAATGCTAAGATATCTCACAATATTGCTATCATGACTATACGATGATCCACATCCGTCCCTTTACATCCAAAGATAAAGTTTCTTACCAATCAATGGTAAGATAGAAATATCAAAGGAAAGGAGGAAAAGAACAAAGACTTTTGAGTAAGTAGAAACGTTCCTAGTTGTTTGCTCACTTTCAAAACAAACATCCTTACAAACACACACCAAACACTTTCAAAACATGAAATATTTTCAAAAGTCCAACACTTTGTATATGTTCTTATAAAACGAGAGTCATTACAAAGTTCGCCTAAAAGAAGGCGCCTTTTCAAAAATACTTCCAAAAACCACCACAAAGCATATTTTCAAACAAAGCAAGTGATCTAGAAAGCAACTAAGGTCCCATAGATAACTATGGATGAAAATGGTACTAACACCTTCCCTTTTCATAATCTACCCCCTGAACTCAAGAAAATAATCTCAAAGGTCTTTTCTGTTCTTTTCAACCTTTCCTTATTGGATAAAAGAAAAGTCGGTGACGACTCTTGCTAACCGCAACAATTGCGATCAAACGCAAAATATCCCGAGTCAGTTCTCCCACCGTATCACACCCATCAAGTTGTGACACTCTATTCTTCTCACACAAA